TTGTCCCCAAAGTAAGTACTGGAAGTGGCAGAAATCTAAGAAAGCAGCCTGTGAGTGACAGCTGTATCAGAGCCACACACTGAGGGCCTCCTCCACATCTCGCCACCCCCAGGCTCCAGGACATGACAGGGGCCACCACTTCCCAGCTCTTTTCCTAGAAGAAGTGGACCAGTTCCTCCTAGCAGCAGGGCCATCTCCAAAGTCTCCACATCCCGAAAGGTGATTGAACGGCTATAGGGAACAGTCCTCAGTGACAGCCACAGAAATGGGAAGCAGGTTCATTTGGGATTCTGTTCTGTCAATACCTATACTTGACTTGACCAGTCCTGCCAGATTATAGTTGCAATTAAGAAAACAAAGAACCTCAATAAAGGCTAAAAACTAAAGGGTTCCATCCCTAGAAAGGAATACATTCAAGGTCTTATCATGAGCTCTATTTCTTTCACATATTATTTCCCAGATAAATATACCTCCCCACTAAGACACCGCAACAGATAACCCGACAAATAAATTGTAGGACACACATAAAGGGGTGTATTATTTTGTGACAATGTAAATGAACCTCAAAACCAGTATGTGAGAGAGATCAAACACCAAGGACTCCACATTCTGAGGCATTCCCCTACACAGAATACCCAGAACAGGTAAATCCAAGGGGGCACGATGCAGACCACTGGGTCAAGAGCTGGGGCCGGGAGATGGGGTGGAGATATGGAGCGACTGGGGAGCGGGGCAGGCTTTCCTCTGGGCTGCACAACACTGAGAATGGACTGAATGCTGCTGGCCGCTTGGCTTTTAAACTCTGCATTTTGTTGTGTGACTTTCAACTCTCTTAAAAACCTATCAAACCCCAGAACTTGGGTGGCTGAAGGAATAGGATCTCAAGTTCAGGGCCAGCCTGACCTACATAGCAAGGTCCCGTCTCAAACAAAACAAAACACAATCATCCGTGGGTTTTGTTTTTTGTTTTAGGGAGAGGACACTCAGGAGCAAAACAAGATCCGTACGTGAAAGGCGGTCCTTGAGCTCTAAGGGAGAGGTAAAGTATTTTGCTAGCAATTTCTGCTCTTCATCAAAACATGAGGCTAAGTGTTAAGCTGTACAGGCTGTCCCCACTGTCAGCGCATGTGAATGCTTTTCTGGGAAAAAATAAAATAAAAAAGACAATGAAGGGAAGAAAGGGAAGAGAATAAAATGACAGAACCTTTGCCAAATTTAACAGAGGAGGGGTTGATTCCCCTACTGCACCCCACCCAATTTGGCACCAAGAGTAAGGCTTCAATTAGGGTTTCGAAACGTCAGCCTGAGCTAGAAGCAACGCAAGCAAGCTTCCCTGCCTGGACAAAGAGCAAGCCACCCAGCAAGAAAAGCTAGGGTGCTCCATTTGCTGCAGATACTGGCATTAGAACCACCCTCTGCTCAAAGGCCTTGAGCTGGCTCGGACCAGGGCAGTCAGCCTAAAGGCATGGTTCTCACAGCTCAGACGTGCCCCTCCTCCTGAGGGGTTCCACTCTCCTGCATCCCTCCTACCTTCCAAGAACCCTGTCTCCAACAACAGGCTACCAACGTGCCATGCCTAACAGCACTAAGAATAGAGCCAAGATGCTCAGAACTTTCCTTTGTCCAGCCTGAAATAAATATCCTGCTGGGCCCTTCTCCCTCTGGGGCCAGTTCTGTAACCTGTGATCCTTACACACACTGGTGTGCACGCAGTCTGGCTCCTGACTCCACTGCGGAGCTAGAAATGAGCCCCATAGGCGCCAGTGTGCATCGATATCCAGCATAGTTCCTCCGGCGCACCTACCAAACCTGCCCTCTCAAAAGACCCTCAAGTCGCCTGGCACCACTGCCTCTGCCATCTTTCTGACATCCAAATCGTCACAGGTGTCCCTCAGCTAAACACCAAAGCCCCCTTCGCCCTGTCCACGCAAGGCATGGGCGTTCCTCTCGACAACACTCAACTCTTTGCAAACAACCCTCCTTGAGACCCCCCCCCTCCAGCCAGGCCTCGACCACCCGGGTCCCCCGGGCTGGCCCAGACGCCCTCCCCTTACCTGCGGGGGCTCAGCCCTGACTGACAGGGGGCTGGGCAGCGCCTGGAGGAGCAGGAGCGCCATGCCACCCAGGAGCCTTCTCCTCTCCATCCCCCTCCTGCTCCTGCTCCTCCGCCACGGCGCCGCCACCCCTCCTCCTCCCTCTCTTCTTCCCTCTGCTTCCTCCTTCCCTTCTTTTCCTGTTTCGCTCTCCCCTCCCGCTTCCGGCTCGGCTCCACCCCGCCCCAGGCCAAATGCCCTCCCAGATGCGGAGGACGGTCTCCAGTTCCCGCGCCTCATTGGCTTCTACCTTTCGTTCATTGGTCCAGAGAGCTGTGCGTCTAGTTCTAGTCCAGCCCCCCCTCGTGCTGGGTGATTTAGCCAATGAAAAGTGGGAGGAAGCCGGGCCATCTTGAATGCTGCGAGCTGCATTAAAGTGCAGTGCGCCCCGCCCCGCAGAGAGTGGCGGAAGTACCGAAAACTGGGGACGAGACCGTCCAAATGCATTGAAGAGGCTTGCCGTGTGTGGCCATTTTGAGTGTGGCGGAAGTGTTAGGTTCCCACAGTTAGGGGGTGGGACAAGGGAAAGTAAAAAGAGGTGGTAAGGTATAAATGATTCTAAAGGGTACTTCTGAAGGGTAAACCAATTGCAGCCTGAAATTTTCTGGGACCTTTTGTATTAAAGTACAGGCAGCCCTATTATCAGGATGCCTTTTCCAATCTCACCAAGGAGCAACTCAGATCCATTCTAATTCCCTATTCGACCGTAATTCTATTACAGACAGTGCTCTGCCATCCCGAGTTTTAAGGACGAAATTCTAATGACTCTACTCGGAAACAGCTCTGATACCCACCACTCATCGCTTCAGCCTCACCATCTTCCAGCTGAATGAAAATGGCTCTCTATGCCCTGCAGAGTAGCCAGTTCTCCATCTCCTCAAATCCCATCCACATTACTGGTTCACACAAACCCAAACATGACTATATAGCAGCTTCACCCTTGACAATACTCACCCAGCTGAGTGGGAGATGTCGTTCTGTGGTAAATAGCTTGCATGGGCCAGGCCTTGAGTTCAGTCCACAGTGTGAGCCACAAGGAAAAGAGGAAGGGAAGAGATACAGGGAGGGAAATAGGGAAGAAAAAACAAGACTAGACTTTAGCTGAAACGGTGGTGGCACAGACCTTTAATTCCAGCAGAGGCAGGTGGACTCTGTGAGTTCAAGGCCAGCCTGGTCTACAAAGTGAGTGCTAGGACAGCCAGGGCTTCGTTTCCCTGTCTCAGGAAAACACTATGGAAACAGGCATGCCCAGAAACTTGAAGATCTGGAAAGCTAAGGAAAGCTGATCTTTACAGAGAACTTTCTCAAGTTCTGATGTTTCTTTTCCAGATTGTCTGTAGAATAGAAAAGCTGCAGCCAAGTCTTCCATTTTTAAAAAGCTGCTGGGGGGACTGGAGAGATGGCTCAGAGGTTAAGAGCACTGGCTGCTCTTCCAGAGGTCCTGAGTTCAATTCCCAGCAACTATATGATGGCTAACACTATCTATAATGAGATCTGGTACCCTCTTCTGGCCTGTGGGCAGAGAGAACACTATACATAGTAAATATATCTTTAAAAACAAACAAACAAAAAAAGCTGGCTGAAAAACAGACTTTCCTGCTCACGTACCAGCCAACATCAAACTTCCCCTTATAAAAGGAAGGAACCCTGTAAACATGCTAAGCAGAGAAACCCGAAACAGAAGGCCCATAGTGTGATCTGATTGGAAGGGGACGGGGCTGACAGCCCGAGGAACTGCTAATGAACTTGGGGTTTGGGGGGGAGGAGGGATAATGAAAGTATTCAGAATTAGTGGCAACAACGCTGCAACTTGGTGACTGGAAATTACTAAATCATACAATTTTTTGTTTTTGCTTTTCAAGACAGGATTTCTCTGGCCTCAAACCCACAGAGATCCACCTGCCTCTGCCTCCCCAAGTGCTGGGATTAAAGGTGTGCGCCACCACTTCCCAGCTTTAAACCATATAACTTAAGAGGATGAATTTGGCCAGGTGTGGAGGTGTACAGCTGGAATCTCAGCATTCACAAGTCTGAGCTGACAAGTAAGAGTCCAGGAAAGCCTGGGCTCCATCCCAAAGAAAACAGAAGTTTCATGGCATGTGTGCTCCATTGTACATTTTAAAATGGGTGTGAAGCTAAATTGCAGCTGCAATCTTCGCATCAAGGTTGCGCTATCTTCTAGTGCAACCAGCATTACCAGGAAATGAGCACAGCTGCAGTTCTCAGGCTCCACCTGCAGAACTGGAAGCTGGGGTGAGCCTTTGGGTTCGTGTTTCCTCAGCATCAAGGGACCCTGGTATACATTGTTTCCTCTTTCGAGGCAGGGCCTCTCTGTTGCATTGGCTGGCCTGGAATGTGCTATGTAGAGCAGGACAAGCTCAGACTCATGAAGAGCCACCTGCCTCTGCTTTCCAAGTGCTGGAATTAAAGGTTTGCCCAGCCGGGTCCACTCTATGTTCCTAAGAGCCACAGTTGCAGGATACGGAGACTTACGTTAGAACTTTATATGACACATATACAAAGTCCCTTTCACATATTCTAGTTTTTCTTTTTATAGCCTTTTAAAAGATGTAAAACAATTTTCAGTTCCCAAATCCAGAGAGAGAGAGAGAGAGAGAGAGAGAGAGAGAGAGAGAGAGAGAGAGAGCGCACAGGTGACTTTGGCTGTATCATCGCTCACCAATCCTCTAAGGCATCACAAATCCCATTCTGGGAGACCAGTGGGGCATCAACACAGGTGGGCAGATGGAATCCTCTCCCTTATTAGGGAGATGGGCCATAGTCTCCAGCCATCAGACAGGGTCCCTTACAGCTGCGAGATCCTCTGATGTACCCAGCCAAAGTCAGACCACAGATCCTGCTTTCCATCAGGAGGTAGTAGCTTGGTTTGCAGAACAATGCTTCACGTTCTTTCAAAACATTTATTTAATTCATAATGACAGCGTTTAAATAGAATCAGCAAATCTCACCAGACAAAAGTGACCCTATATACACACCGACTCCAAGTAAACTACAGTCCCCAGGGGGCTCAAGGAACAAGACAGGAACCTAAGCGGCCCTTTGCTGTGTGTTCTCTCTAGGCTCTTGGTCCTGGTTGGTTTCCTCGCAGAGGTGTCCGAGTACAGCTCCCTGTCCTGTCAGTACTCAGCAGTTTTTCTTTGATTTAACCTAATGGGTTCAGGAAGGGAGACCACCAGGAAATCATCCACTAAAATGTGTGGTAGGGCACATGTGTGAGGGGACTTGTAAAACAGGCAAAGCAATGAGAAAAGAGACTTCTCTCAGAATAAGGGTCCCAGAAATAGGTCTAGACATGATTTTAGACAGAATAAAGTCATCATCAGAGGGCTAACTTGATGTTCACATAACTTCGGTGAAATGGCTGTTTGGCTGTACAGTCTGAAGGCTCTTTGGTCCTGGCTGAATTGTGCTCCAGTGTCCCTTTCCTAACAGTACACACCAGTCCCTGGTTTTTGACCTAACGGGCTGAGGACAGGAACTATTTGTCCAGTTTTCTGTCCTGTTTTAGTTAGCTCTCAGCACCTGAAAAACTCAAGTCTAGCAACACTCCCATGGAGGCATCCCAGTCAGGGCACAATGGGGCAGAGTAGAGAGCAATCCCCAGGGGACAGACTGACCCTCTTCTGTTCCTCAGTAGGAGCTGCAGAGATGCTCTTCCAGAGGATCTGGGTTTGATTTCTAGCACCCATGTGATGGCTCACAGTGGTAATTCCAGTCCCAGAGGATCTGACACCCTCTTTGGACCTCTGTGGATGCTGCGTGCAGAGAGACACACATGAAGGCAAAACATCCATACACATAAAAATAAAAATAAAATGATAAGAAGCCTTTTCAAGAATCACACAGGTAAACATTTCCCTTGCTTGAGAAGGAGGAAGTGGGAGGAAGGAGGAGAGGGACTCAATACATCTGCAGTCCTGACTGGAAAAGAGCCACAGGTGTCCTAAGTACTCCAAACTGTGTCTCCCAGACACCAGCAGCTTATGCTGAGATGGCCTCAGCTTCTGGTCCCAAAGGACAGGGACCGAGGACAAAGCAGACGGAATACCTTAGTCCTTGTTCCCTCCCCTATTTTTTTTTTTTGAGACATTATCTCTAACTCAGGCTAGCCTCAAACTCTCCATGTACCTAAGGTTGACTTTGAACATCTAATCCTCCTGCCTCCACCTCCCCAGTACAAGGACTGCAAGCATGAACAACCATGCCTGAAACACATGGCGCTAAGGATTAAATCCAGGGCTTTGTGGAATCTAGGCAAACACTACCAACTGAGCTACATCCCCAACCACCTTGATTCCCCTTCTGAATTTTTTATCCTTGGGAGTCCAAAAAATGGATGTTTCTATGGAAACAGGAATCATCTCCCCACCCACCTACTCTCCCCCAGTCCAGCCTGGCTTTCAAAGAGGAATGTGGACACAGGTGTGCACGGCTGACGGCAAAAGGCTGGGCCATACGGGGATGGATTGGTCCCTGCAGGTGAAGAGCACTTAAAGACCCTTATTAAAGTAGGCGGAGAGGACTTGGTCTCCATATTTGGCCTTGATGGTGTCCTGCAGCTCTGGTTCTAGATAGGAAACTGGTAATTCACTGAAAAGGAAACCAAAACAGGGTTATGAGGATGCTATTATCCAAAACAATTAGCAATTCACCCTGAGAAGAAAGCCCGCCCTACATGTCACCTCTAGGAAGCCCATCCTAGTGAGCGTTAACTATCAACTTGGCACAGCCTAAAGTCACTGAAAAGAGGGTCTCAGCTGAGTGACTGTCTTTATCAAGCCGATCTGAGGGCACGTCTGTGAGGAACTGTCTTGATTGTTGACTGATATGGGAGCACCTGGGCCACTGTGGGTGGCGCCATTCCCGGGGCTCTATGAAAAAGCTAAGCATGAGCCTGTGTGAACAAGCCAGCAACCACCGTCACCCCCCCTCCCAGCCCCCATGGTTTCCGCTTCAAGCTCCTGTTTGAGTTCTTGCCCTGGTTCCCTGCCTACCTTGACACAGATGTACAAGCCTCCCCTCAGGAACCTGTCTCCCTGAAAGAGATTTCACACTGTTCTGCAGGACAAGGTCAGGACTAGTTAGGGTGCACATCATCCTGGGCCCTGCTAACACCAGCGAATACCGAAACCCACGTGAATAAGAAATACCGAGACAAATCCTCCTTCCCCAGAGCCGTTCTTAGTCATGGTGTCTGTCACAGCAATAGAACGACCCTAGTGCAGAGCCCTCCTGGTTGTCAGACTAGGCCCCCCTTTGTGTGTGTATGCAAGTACATGCGTGTGTATGTGTGCGCTCATGTGTACAGAGACCAGAGATTAATTGTCCCCAGTTTTATTGTCTGGAGACAGGATCTCTTACTGAACCTGGAACTCGCCAATTTTCAGCTGGGCTGGCTGTCAACGAGTTTCAGGGATCTGCCTGTCTACGCCTCCCTAACACTGGGGTTACAAGCACATACCGCTACACCCAGGTTTTGGGGTTTTGTTTATTTGTTTTCACCCAGCTTTTTCAACATGGGTTCTGGGAATCTGACTCAGCTCTGAGGGCTGAGTCATCTCCCCAGACCTTTTCTTAAGGTTTTGAGACAGGGGTTGTTATAAAGAAAAAATTAAATTGCTTTTGCTTGCTAGGGTCTATATATCTCAGGCTGGCCTTGAACTCTAGATCCTCCTGCTTTAGCCCTGTGCCCTACCCGCAGTGTGGGATTACAAGCTCAAACTATGCGCTCATCTAATTCCTGATTTTTCCAGCCAAAATTGTTACTGGCCTTTGTGAGTCAGAATAAATGTTACATTTCACCTTTAAATCAACCTGGACTAAAGCTCTCTGTCTTTGCCACAAGCTTGTAATCACAGTGCTCAGGACTCCGGAGGTGACTAGCAGGTGGCCAGAGAACCCATACAGAGGGCAGGACAGCTACTATCTCAGGTCATGCGACAGCTACACCTGTTTCCTGGAACCAGCCTCCAGCTGACCCCAGGCTGGTGTCCCTTTCCGTCACCTCTACTCCTACCCTCCCTTCCGGGAAACACAGAGGAACCTGAGAAATACAAGTCTGTGCACGGAGGGAATGTGAGCCGGGAGCAGAAGAACCGCCTTGTTCAACCTCAGAGACCAGAGCCAGCCTGAAGGGGCCTTCCTCCACTCACCAAGCAGGATAAGTCTCCTGTTGCCCGCCCCCCACCATCTCTCCAAGGTGGGAGCAACTCTTACTCCTGGCTTCTCCCCCACCCCCACGGAGACCTGACTGGTGTGCCATTCACCCAGCGTAAAAAGGCCAGAGTTGAGGTGGGCGGGCACCTGTCCTTAGAAACATCTATTGTCCCGTGTGTCCCTCTCTCCCAGCAGGTCCGTGGGGGAGCAGAGCAGAGCATTTGATAAAACAAAGCAGGCAACAAATGACTGATACCATTCCTGAGGGAAGAGCCCACATGCCACAGGCACCATGAAGAGGAGGCTGTAAGAAAGGAGAAGAGTGTTAGGGACATGACCCTGAGGCCTGCCACACCCTACCCTGAGCCCACACAGCTGACCTGCCTTAACACAGGGTCACGGAGCCCAGGGTCAGGAGCTGGCTGAGACTGATCTTGTACTGATCCTCCTGTTCCTACCTCTACTGGGGTGACATACCTGTGTGCCATCGCCCTGGTCAGGGTCTTGTACACTAGGCAAGCACTCTACCACTGAACTGTAGTCCAGAAAACTCACTGGACTTGGTGATAAAAACCAGTGTCCCTCCCTCACACTAACCTCTACTTCACACCATATTCCAACACAGGAAGAAAATAGCGCTGCACCTAAGAATGGTAAACTGGAGACTCCTAGGTCACAGTCACCTGTGCCACAGGGAAAGGGACTCTGACCAGGGGGGCACAATTAATGGCATTAGTCAATGGCCAAGTCCCTAGGGCACTGGCGTCAAGTGCCACTTTTCCTGTACGACAGCCCAACCAACCTCCGCCTCCTCATTCTTGTGTCTCCTTGAAAACTGCTCTAGACCTGAGGGAGAGGGAAACCTGGGAAGAACTCAAGCTTGGCCGTCTGGGCGCTAGACATGACATGAGCCACTATGAAGCCAGGTCAGGAGACAGGTCCCAGGTGCTCCAGGCAGCAAAGACCCCAGACCACCAACACCACATACTCACAAGCAGCCACACAGCAGGACCTGCAGCGGAGCATGCAGCACTCTGACTCTCTGCACAAGACAAGAGAAAAACAGAGAGAGACCCCCATGGGACTCAGACCCCTGCAGCAGGCCCGGCACCTACACCCCCACCAGCTAGCATGAAGTCTAGGACTTGCTGCCCTTATGGGGAGAAGGGCTTCTCCTGGCTCTCTGCAGACAGGGTCAGGAGGCCTGTTCTCATATGTGAAACAGGGGTTGGCAGAGACTGGGACTAGCTCTACTAGAGTAAGATGGGAGGCGGCTGTTGGGAAGGAGGGGAGGGCCAGTTGCTGGGGCTCTAGGCAGGGAGAACCCGCCTACCTTCATCAGCCGCAGGGGCTCCAGCCGTTCCATGATGACAGGTAGTAAGACTGGAAGAGACAGAGCAGCTGAGAGGAGGAACGGTAGGCTCTCCCTAAGCCCCACTGCTGCGTCAGACCACAGACCTCAGCGCCATTGGGAGAAAACAGAGCCTGCGTAGGCACTGCTACCCTGACTCTCCCCCAAGTCCCAGAGAAAGATGCTGCCCGAAAATGTGTTCACAGTTAACAGAAGGCAGACACACTTCGGTCCTGGTCCAAAGCATTCTTCTCAAATCGAAAAATGTTTTGCAGGCTTATGCAAACAAATTGTGTATCCTACTCTGCAATACGCCCCCTGCTGGAAACCAGGGGGCCCTGGGGGGCTCTGCATCTACCACTGTCTCCCAGGGACCCCCCACTGTTGCTTAGTGAATATCAGCTAAATGAAGTTAACCTGCTCCCCCAATTGGAGGAACCGATATTCTAAGAACACCTGTGTTTCCCTGGGCTTTCAGCTTTCAAAGGAAACAGCCTGAGAAGACATCCCACCTCCCACTTGAAAGCTGAGGGAACCGAGGCCTCTGCCAGATATTCAAGGGTGCCCCCAAGATAGGAGGTGTTTTCCATCTTACTCATGCCAGGAGCGGCCATAGTAATCCGAGAAATAACCACTTGGGTGATGCCCACAGCCGCAGCTCTCTGAGGACAGAGAAGAGATGTCAGGAAGCGCTCAGTCGGTGGGCGTGGGCTATGAGGGAAGTCAGGTTCGTGCCAAAGTCTGAGCAGGTAAAGGAGATGGGATGGCCCCAACCCTCCCACCTAAAATGATGCTGGAAACCTGTTCTGAACAAAGAAATGAGGGGGTATTTAAGAGAAAATGAGGATGGGAAAAGTCTTCTCAAACCCATAATGGCAGCCAGGTCACATGTGCGATCATCTAGGAGGGACAGGGTTTGAGGGGGAAGTCTCTCCTTTGCTCACCTGAGAATGGCCAAGCTCATTTTGGTCCCTGTCCTTCACACAGATGCCCTGGATGAGTTCCCTAGACAAACAGAAGTTTCTGGGCTTTAGGAAACAGGTGCTGGGACTCTGCCTGGCATGTGACACATCCGGTCACCAGTGCCAAGGGACCAATGCTCTAGGAAGCCCCTCCCTTCTGCAGTCCCGTGAATGGTGCCTGTCAAGCGACTCTCAGGAGCAGCCAAGAAAGCCAGCCCCAGGTCCACTGCCTCGATGGACTCCAGAAGCTACAGGTCACATGTGTGACCTTGAGGACCGTCTTTTACCCTTCAGAGCCTCTGTGTTCCTCATGTGGAGAATGAGGACCACCCTGGCACCACTTCACGGAACCTAATGAGAATCGTAGGAACTCCTGACCAGGTTCTGAGTCCAGTACCTGACTTAGCATCCACTGCCCAAATAGTACCTATTCTGTTCTCAGACAAGCTCGACTCCCTGGTGGAGACCAGGATGGGTAGTCACTTTCACGCATATGCCACGCCCAGCTAGGTGGAGACAGGCAAGAGAGTGGAGGGATGTGTAAGATTCCACAAGCTCCTTCTCCGAGGGCTGCTGTGGTAACCCTCCATCTGCCAACAAAACGTGGTCGCACACGCAGACATGATGGCGATGGCGTCAGAAAGAGACAGTCCTCACGCCACTTGTGTTCTAGAAAAATACAAAAAGAAAAAGCAAAGGAACAGAAACTGGGCCGGGGAAGCAGCTCCACAGCCACCGTGGCTAGTGTGCTCGAGCCTCTGGGCTCAACACCCTGCACGGCAAAGTCGTGTTGTAGCACACGACTGCAACCCCAGCAGAGGCAGAGGCAGGAGAGCAAGGCAAGCTCAAGGTCAGCCTGGCCTACAGTGAGTTCCAGCCCAACCAGGAGTACATAGCGAGACCCTGTCTCAAAAAACAAAAATAGCACTGGGGAGACGGCCCAGAGGTTAAGAAGACTTATTGTTTACACAGAGGACCCAAGTTCGGTTCCCAGCACCCACACCAGGCAGCTCATAACTGCCTATGACCCAGGGGCGTCTGATACATTGAGTCCAGTCTGTGTGGGCACCTGCACTCACCACATATACATACACATAATTAAAATCTTTAGCCAGGCATGGTAGCAAATTCCTTTAATCCCAGAACTGGGGAGGCTGAGGCAGATGGATCTCTGTAAATTCAAGGCTAGCTTGAATTGGGAATTCAATTGTTGAATTGAATAGTTGAATTGGGAGTGAGCTCCCAAGTCAACCAAGGATACAAAGTGAGCCCCTCTCACAAAAAAAAAAAAAAAAAAAAAAAAAAAAATCCACCTCTGAAAGAAAACTATAAGATAGAACCAGTTTTTGAAGAGAGCATAGCTGGGCTCCTGGGCATGTCTACCTCCTCCCCTGGCTTCTCTGAGCACCTGGATACTGTTCTATTGCCACTTTTCCTCCATTAAGCCAGTCTAAGGGCTTGGGAAGGAGGCAGAGTTCACAGCTTTGACAGGATCTAAGCTAGGGATGTAGCTTTAGGAACAGAGCGCTTGCCTGGCATGGATGAGGCATTAGGTTCAATCCCCAGCACTACCAATAAAAACCATCTGGTCCACATGTCCACGCTCAATTCACCTCACGTCACATGCGGCGACACACCATATTTAAATCACTCACCATTCTTTGGGCCGTTACAGATGGCCACCCTTGAGAACCTTCAGAGGCTGGGTCCTTTGGTCTTCTCCATCCTACCTCAGTCCCAGGAAGCTAGTGGCTCACTGCCTTGCTTCCTCCCCTTCCCTGTTAACCCCGTGACTGAGAAGGAGAACAAGGCTCCCTGTACTCACTGCTGTCGCATCATTGGGATATTGACACAGTTAGCTGCAGCCACAGCGGCAAAGGGCACCCATCGGGCCACCAAGGGTGGAGCTCTCTGTTGGAGGCAGGGAATAACGGAAGTTACTCAAGTTCATGCAAAGGTGGGGTAGAAAAGGCTTTGGATTACACAGGAAGAGAGGCAAGTAAACACTACTGCTGACTTGTCCAGACATCCACTCTGGGATCCTCAAACTCCTGTAGCGAGCCAAGAAAGCTGTTTTCGCTAGACCTTTGCTGCCCCCTGGTGGCCACTGTACCGCAAGCCCCAGCCATACATACCTTGGTCCACATATTCATGCCCACTGCAGTGGCCACCGCAGTGGTAGTAGCTGTGAAGTAGGAGAGAGCCATCTGCCTAGTGGAAAAGAAATGTCAGATGGATGAATGCATAGGTGCTGGGAGTAGTGTCCAAGGAGGCTGAGGCAAGGCCAGGGGCTTCCGTGAGAAACTCTAGCAATGGAGCTTCAGGGCCTGTGGTCTGTCTCTAGAGTCATCTCAGACTCCACTTCCATCACTCTATGCCGGGCACCCTTAGTCCTCTTTCAGTACCTTAAACGCCTCACACTCCTTCCTGCCTCAGGACCGATGCACACTGCTGCTGTCTGTCTACAGAACACTCCGGGGCTCCTACATGCCTGCACCCATATATTGCCTAGTTTTGTCCACTTGATACAAGCTGAAGTCATCTGAGAGAAGGGATCCTCAATTAAGAAAATGCCTCCAGCTGGGGAGTACTGACTCACGCCTTTAATCCCAGAACTTGGGAGGCAGAAGCAGGAGGACTTCTGAGTTCAAGGCCAGCCTGGTCTACACAAAATAATCCTGTCTCAAAAAAATAAAAAGAGGAAGGAAGGAAGGAAAAAAAGAAGAAAGAAAGATGTCTCCAAAAGACCAGGCTGTAGGCAAGTCCAGTAGGACATTTTTTTTTCTTTCCGAGACAAGGTTTCTCTATGTAGCCCTGGCTGTCCTGGAACTCACTATGGAGACCAGGCTGGTCTTGATCTCAGAGACTTGCCTGCCTTGGCTTCTGAGTGGGATTACAGGTGCACATCACCACCGCCCATGTTAGGACACTTTCTTAATTAGTAACTGATCGGGGAGGGCCTAACACATTGTGGGTGCAGCCATTCTGGGTTCTGCAAGAAAACTGAGATAGCCAGACGGAGGAAGCAGCACCCTCATGGCTTCTATATCAGTTCCTGCCCTCAGGCTCCTGCCTCACTGCTGCTAATGATAAATTGCTACGTCAAACTGTGAGTGAAATAAACTCTTTCCTCCCCAAGTTTAATTTCATGATGGAGTTTCATCAAAAGCAATAGACCAAGACTAACTAACTAACTAACTAACTAACAACTAACTAAGTCAACTCTTACCTTTTAGAACCCAAGTGGATGCCATCTCTACAGAAGGGATTTCCCAAGGGGCCTCTCTAAAGAGAGCTGTCCAGCCATGCTTTTCATCTCCCTAACTATGGAATTGCAATCGGAGTTCACTGGGTTTGTTTTGCTAGGAGACTTTTCTGCGTGTTTGGTTTGGTAGGCTCTGAGACAGGATCTCGGTATGTGGCCCTGTAACTGCTACACAAAACGAGCTGGCCTTGAGCTCACAGAGATCTCAAACAGGACTGCTATCTTACTCACCAGGCACCTTAAGCTTCTAGAATCTTGCCTGGCACATAAAACACACTCAGGAAAATTCTGGACAAGATGGCTCAGTGGTTAAGAGCCATCATAACCTTGCTGCTCTTCCAGAAGACTGGAGTTCAATCCTCAGCTCCCACATGGGATGACTCGTAACTACCCAGAATTCCAGCTCCAGGGATCTAACTCCCTCCTCTGGCTTCTGCAGACATCTTCACACATGTGAAGAATAGAACCACAACACACACACACACACACACACACACACACACACACACAAACACAAATAAAGATAAATCTTGGGATAGGAGAGAGGTCTCAGTGGTTTGGAGCACGTTTTTTCTTTAGTTTTTGAGACAGGGCCTCATTCTGAAGCTCAGGCTACCCAGAAACTCAGAGATCCCCCTGCCCCTGCTTCCTGAGTGCCGAGATTAAAGATGTGAGCTACTACACTCAGCTTGATTTTTGCTTTTTATCTTAAAATTATGTGTGTGTACATGCGTGCATGCCCATAGAGGCCAGAGGTCAGATGTCCCTGGAGCTGGAGCACCTGATATAGGTGCTAAAAATCGGACCTGGAGGCTGTGGAAGAGCACCAGCTCCCATGGTCTTGTGGTCGAAGCCCTGGTCGGGCTCTGAAGAGCAGTCCATGCTCTAACTACTGAGCCATCTGTAAAGCCCAGGCACTTGCTGCTCTTGCAGTGGACTTGGTTTGATTCTGAGTGTGCACATGGTAGCTCACAACCATCCATAACTCCAGTTCCAGGAGATCCCATGCCCTCTTCTGACATCTGCAGGCACCAGTGTGCATGTGATGTGCATACATACATGCAGGTAAAATACTCATACAATAAAATAAAATAAATAAATCTAAAAAGTAAATCTTTAAAAGAGAAACTGGGCAGTGGTGGTGCACTTCTTTAATCCCAGCACTCAGGAGGCAGAGGCAGGTGGATCTCTGTGAGTTCAAGGCCTGCTTGGTCTACAGAGCAAATTCCAGGACAGCCAGAGTTACACAGAGAAACCCTGTCTCAAAACAAAACAAAAGAATAACATATTAGTCAAATGAATGATCATTTTAAAATAGTCTGGGAAGAAGATATTCTCAGTTGGTCTGAGTATTTCAAACACTGGGAAATGGTACCCCAGCCACCTACCAGAGTGGGCCCAGCCAGGGAGCGAGGACAGTCTAAGATTAGAGGGCTGCTCCTGCAGAGGGAGAGGACAGCCTTCATTTCACGTCTCCTACCTGACTGACGTGGGGGAAGCCGCATTCCTGTTGGTGTAGTTGACTAAGGCATTGAAGGACTGGTTCACCCACTGCCAGAAGATTACCGCAGGCATTGTCCTGAGAACAAGGAAGACCAGGAGGGATGAGGGGGGGGGGGGCTGTGCTGCACCACAGCATCTGCAGTTCCCTAAACTACTCCATCCTTTCTTATAGCCTGGGGTTGTGGATGGGATGAGCCCTTTGCCTGGGCTATCCCCTCTTCCCTTCACACGGGGCAAAATCCTGCTCTGTTGACATGCTTGACATGCTTTGCTTTTTTAAAAAAAAAAATTATTTATTATGTATACAATATTCTGTCTGTGTGTATGTCTGCAGGCCAGAAGAAGGCACCAGACCTCATTACAGATGGTTGTGAGCCACCATGTGGTTGCCGGGAATTGAACTCAGGACCTTTGGAAGAGCAGGCAATGCTCTTAACCACTGAGCCATCTCTCCAGCCCCTTGAGATGCTTTTCTTCTTGGAATTTTTTCTGACCCTTCTTCTGCCCCCCCTGAGACAATCATTCCATGTGTCCTGTTTCCATGACTCTTCCCCCAACCTACCACTTCCCAATCTCCACTGTGTTCTATGTCTCCAGGAGGGGAGAGCCTAAAGTCCTTCATCCCTGGCACTGGCCCAAGGCATAGCTCAACAACTAACTAAATGAATACACAGGGTTAGAGGACTTAGCAGGTGGAGATGGGGAGAGTCATACCCCGAAAGCTTCCTCCCTTCCCAATCAAGCAGAGCAAGAACGGGGCCTTTTCTTTTTCCATTCGGATGTCACATTCAAAACATAAAGCCACTGTGGAATTCTTACTTAAGAACCTAGGAGGAGGGGCTGGAGAGACGGCTCAGCAGTTAGCACTGACTGCTCTTCCAGAGGACCCAGATCCAACTCCCAGAAACACATGGCAGCTCACATTTGTTCGTAACTCCAGTTCTAGGGGACCTGACACCCTCACACAGACACACAGGCAGGCAAAACACAAATGCACATAAAACAAAAATAAAACTTATTTAAAAAAAAAGAAGAAGAAGAAATTAAAAGGAGCCAGGCAGGATGGTGCACGCCTTTAATCCCAGCACCTGGGAGGCAGAGGCAGGTGGATCTCTCTGAGTTTGAGGTTTGGTCTTTTGGTCTACATGGCCAGTTCCAGGCCACCCAGAGTTACACTGGGATGCTGTCTCAAAAACAAAACAAAACAATAACAACAAACAACAAATAACTTAGGAGGTTGATGAGATGGCAAGGTGGGTAAAGACCTAAGTTCCTTCCCCAAGTCCCACGTGGTGGAAAGAGAAGCAAAGAGAAGCCACTTCTGATAAGTAGTCCTTTGACTTTCTCTCTCTCTCTCTCTCTCTCTCTCTCTCTCTCTCTCTCACACACACACACACACACACACACACACACACACAATGAGAGGTACTCCCACTCCACGTACACACAATAAAACAAATGTAATGTTTTTTTAAGTATTTTTAAAAAACTTAATCCTTACCCTGGTGTTGGTGGCTCACGCCTTTAAACCCAGCACTTCAGGAAGCAGAGGCAGGTGAATCTCTATGAGTTTGAGGCCAGCCTGGTCTACAGAGTGAGTTTTAGGACAGCTAAGGCTACAATGAGAAGCCCTAGCTTCAAGAAAAAAAAAAGGAAAAAAATAAAAGACTTAATCTTTTAGTCCAAGCACTCTGGAGGGCAGTTTGAGTCTCTGTGAGTTCTAGGCCAGCTAGGACTGCAGAGTGAGACTCTGTCTCAAAATAACAATAATGATGATACTAATAATATAAAAAGTTTAGACTGGATGATCCACTGAGGAGGAGGTCTGTTCCAGCAACAGCCCCCACAGGCTGACTGTGGTCACGAATGGTCACTCAGCCTCTAGCGAGCCAACCAGCAAAGGGAAACGAAAACAGCACCTGTGTGTGTAGGGCTCTTGAGAATGAAAAGTCCTCTCAGGCAAAGAATTTAGCACAGTGCCCAGCATCTGGTAAGGGACCAATCAAGAGGACCGTTATTCCACAGGCTTCCCGACCTAGCTTGACCCCCTCCCTCCGCCATCTCAGCTCACCTGTAGAACTGCAGCATGAAGCCTGTGATGATCATGCCCCCGGGGACCTGGAAGGACATCCGCCCAATGACGTTCATCTTCTCCCCAGTATCAGGATGGAAAGCAGAGTCATACAGCTTCTTAGCATACAGCAGCTGCTCCACCTGAGTGCCAGGGGGCACCAGTCCCATCCTGTCACCCAATAACAACAGCAGTGACCACCCGACCTGATGATCCCTGTCTCCCTGCCCCTCTGCCCACTCCTTCACCTTCAGTTTCTCCCTCCCTCAGAAAGTCCAGCAATGCTGTGCTGGTACCTCCAGCCCCTCCCCTGCCAACCCCCTCACCTGCTCTTCTCAACCATGGCCTTGGCCCAGTCCAGTTCCTGCTCTGATGCAAAGACGGTGCGAGGATCCGTGATGTTAAAGAAGTGTTTCACACGGCCCAGGAACATGCGCTGATCCCAACGGGGCGCATCAATGTTAAAGCCAGACAGGTCAGCCTCCATATTGCCCACATTCAACCTAAAACTTAAGAACAAAGTGAATGAGATCTGACCCCTACCTAAATCAGTTTGCCCCAGAGGCCCTGTCAGCCATAGACTGCCTACTTTTGCCAGACCTTAGGCATCCCCTGTGATCTAGGGGCCCCTATGAATGGCAATCAAACTAGGCAATAGCCAACAAGAGTTTCCTGGGACCGTGTTAGTGGCCAGGCCTGTGCTTGATCATACTATGGGAGGCAGTCTGCCTCAGAGGAGCTCAGTCTGACTAGGCAATGAGAGAACACCACAAACTAGCATAATATCCCCGGTACTCCTAGAAGGGAGATAGGAAACATGGCCATTCTGAAATAGAATAGAAGCCCTCCGCTCTTCACTAGGCCTGCCTTCAGAGAAACTCTTTTACCACAGCCTAACCACCACGGCAGCAAAAACATGGTGGTAGGAGTAGGGGTGAGGTAGCTGGGCACACTGTGTCTGCAGTTAGGAAGCAGAGAGATAAATGCTGGTGCCCAGTCTCCTCTAGCCTTTCCACCTCACCTACAGGGGCTGAGGAGTGCTGCCCCAGAAACATCTGTGGAATATGCAGGGCGCAGGCTCACTAGGAGACACACCAGACCTCTGTCTGATCTCAGCCCTCTCTAACGCTTTCCCCTAAGCATTCATGGCTTACAAGGACAATTCTAATTCTGCTACGGGTTCAAGACACAGTCTGGCTCCTTCTGTCCACCGCTGTGGTGGCCTCTGCGCACCTTGCCAGCCAAACTGGGGAAAACAAGTCCATAGGTAGTTGTAACAGCAGGGGCTCTCTCCTTTCTAATGGATTTGTATTTTCGCCAAGTTGAGCCTTGGATGGGTAAGCCTTTCTTATTATCCCAGTGACAAAGAACAGGGGTTTCTCTTTAATGACACTGTCAATTCTAGAAGCTTTCTACCCTGTCTCCCTGTTTCTCATATCTCTCAAGGTAGCTCTAAGATCTGTGAGCGAGAACCATGATCAGCCCAGATGCTATATTGTCTTGATTTCTCCAAATAGTCAATGACCTATCAATTTGGCCTCACTCAAACTTTCAAAATATGACCAGAATGCATATTAATTGCCAGAATGGAACATGAATGATTTCTAGCCCTGTTCCCAGTGGGGTCTTCGTCAACCATCATTTTACTTTTATAGGATTCCCATAGAAAAAACATCACCCCCATGACAGCAGGAAGCAATTCTAGAAAGCAATGTCCCCTCTCTCAACAAAGTTTGTCCTCATGGTTAGAGACACCATTTAGGGGTTGATTATTACTAGCACAGGGTTGGGGGTTGGGGGTGGAAATTACGTAGGCCTAGAGATCTCAAAAAAAAGGGAAGACTGAATGGGATAATAGGTAATTTAGTTGAACTTATTTATACTAATAATAATACTGAATAATAGAGTGAATACTTGTGAGCTATTATTTATGGACAATTTACACTGGTATAGTTTCTGGTATATTGATACAAGTTCAAATTATATTTGCTATTTCTGTTTAAAATATTTGTCTACCTATGCAAGGTTATTTTGTCATATTGTATGCATGCATGTTTCTACCTCTGTTTAAGACATTCTGTATATTGATACAATTTTAGGATATACTTATCATATTACATTATATATTTCTACCTCTGATTAAGATATTTATACATTGTTTGCATTTTGATGTCATTGTCCTCCTTTACTGCAGTTGTTTAAGGATTGTTTAATATTCTGATATGAAGTCTTAATCTTTAAATTATATATGTATTAAGTATTATAGGTCAATAGTCATTCATGTTTGTTATACTTTTAGTATGCTAATTAGTATACAAATTAGTCAGACTAATTAGGTTCTTTAGATACATAGAGATTGTATTCTGCATAGATAGGTAACCTTCAACCACTTTAAAGATCTGTAGAACATACCATTTAAGGGCTGGAGAGATGGCTCAGGGGTTAAGAGCACTGACTGCTCTTCCAGAGGTCCTGAGTTCAATTCCCAGCAACCACATGGTGGCTCACAACCATCTGTAATGAGATCTGGTTCCCTCTTCTGGCCTGCAAGTATACATGCAAGCAGAACACTGTATATGTAATAAATAAATCTTTTTTTAAAAAAAAAAAGAAAGAAAGAAAGAAAGAAAGAACATAGCATTTAAATATCTTCAGATTCTGTTGACATGAGACATGACTACTCCTGGCAACACCAAATCCTGAGAGAGTGTTTAGCACCAAAGACACTCCACTTGGAGTTTGTCTTCTTGGCCCAACTGGCCATTGGGCAAGAAATGGGCCATGCCTCGACCACTGACAAAGTGCACGATGTCTAGACTGGACAAACAGGATACAAGAAAAAAGATTATCGAATTTTGCCAAGTCAGGGTAAGACGGTTTTAAAAAATTTCCTGCCTCTGAAAATGGTCTGTCAGTTACTCTAGGCCTTAGCCAAAGTTGGTTGCTTCGACACTGCAAATGTTGAAGATCTTAGGTGATTGCTCAGGCAGCCAGTTGTCTCTGTCATCCACTGCACATTTTGGAAGCTGCTTGGCTGCACTTCCTATCTACTCAAGTAATATTATCTCCCTTCTCAGGCCTTGGATGGGCTTTAAGACTAGATAGTCAGTAGTTACCGTCCTCTGATGATCTAGCCAAGCCATTTCCAATACAAGACTTAGACTCCTTAGGACAGAATGTTTATTAAAACATTTAGCTTACATTCCTTTCTTAATATTGTTTATGCTGGTTGTAATTCTAATCTTATATTTTATATCTGTTCCTAGTGTATATAGTTTTGTATTGGGTTTGGAACTCTCTTATTGAAAAAAAACAGGGGGAGATGCTGTGGGAGCTCCTTCTGCTGCTTCAGCCAAAAACCTTTAAGACACCAGCCCACCTGGGCGTGGTCTCTCATACTAGAAATGCAGCTGTAAAGCCTGCCCTCTCTCTCTTGCTTCCGGCTCTCGCTTCCGGCTGCTAGACTCTGTTCCTGTTCTCCATTCGTGCAGAGGACTGTGATCTAGTACAGTGATCTGTGAGTCTCCCCTAAATAAATAACCCTTTATTATATGTAATTCTGAACTAGTGTGGGATTATTTTGTAACTTCTGCCATCAGTCAGTAGCACTGACATCATTAAAGCTAACACTTTACAGCAAAACTACTCAGAATAGAGAGAGAAGTGAGGATAAGCCCCAGACAACTGCTGTATTTAAGAGACAAACGAAGAAAAGTGATCTCAAGCAATGGGAAAGAATGCAGGAGAGAGAGGAAGGTGGAAGCAGCATGTGGGAAAAGGATTGTTGTGATGGGAAGCCATGTTGGGAGCTAGTCATCTGTAAACAGTAAGTAACTGACACGCAGTGCCCATAGCGCCTGTGCCTGACCCTGAATGCAACACCTCAAGTGGTGATCTCAGGAGAAAGCAAAAGCCAGACTGCAAGTGTACACTGCAGAACTCTGATTTCTGCCTCTCACTCTGCTTGACTCCTGCAGCATGGTTCCAATGCCAAAGGTATTTTCCTCCATCTAACAACACTCATGGTAGAGGAAAGGAGTTCACTTCCTAGATACATCAGGAACCATCTCCTAGGTACGTCAGGATCCTCATCCCGGAAGCAGAAGAAAGCTCAAGCTGGGCCATGGTGGCACATTTAATCCCAGCACTCGGGAGGCAGAGGCAGGCGGATTTCTGTGAGTTCGAGGCCAGCCTGGTCTACAAAGCGAGTTTCAGGACAGGTAGGACTATTACACGGAGAAACCCTGTCTCGAAAACCAATGAATGAATGAATGAATAAAAGAAAGCTCAAACTCTAGTCCCTGCCCTTTTCTTCCTGTCTTCTCTATCCAAATTGATGGCATCTCTATGGCTAATTCTGGTCAGGTTGTTGTTGGCTCTGTCTCGTGATTCAAGGTAAACTTTAGTGATAATCTGGAGTGTCAGAGAGCAATCAAAATATCCCAGAACCATATAAGCTTTTGGGAGCCATTATCATCAAAACACCACAAATGACTGGGTGGTAACGCAGAGGGCCTGGAGTTCAGTTCCCAGCCTCCACATGGTTTACACAACCATCTGTGACTCCAGTTCCAGTGGATCCAGCACCTTCTGACCTCGGTGAGCATCACACACTCATACAGTGCGCACAAACACAGGTAAGCACCTATAAAAGTAGAAGGAGCCCGGGAGCTGCGGCACACAAAAAGTCTACTTCCGCTGGCGGTACACGCCTTTAATCCCAGAGCTCCGGAAACAGAGACGGGCTATCTCTGTGAGTCTGAGGCCAACTTGGTCTACAAAGCAAGTTTCAGATCAGCCAGGGCTGTTACACGAAGAAACCCTGTTAGGGGTGGGGGAGACACAAAAACAAACAAACAAAAATCATAATTTCAGACAGGCCTGAGCTACACATTGAAACTGTCTCAAACCAAGGTTGGGGAGGGCTGTGAGGTGAGTAGACAGGCAAAGGCACTTGGCCCCGAGTCTAACAACTTGTGTTCATTCTCCAGAACCACACAGTAGAAGAAGGAAAGCAAACTCTGCGAGTTGTCTTCTAACCCCCACACACAAACATGGCGCCAAGTCCGATAGGAACTCAGGGCAAATGGCTAACTGTAGCGTGTTAGCATCCCAAAGTGTCTGCTGGCCTCCAGGCTCACTCAGAATCAGTGGCTCTTCCCAGTTCTTCTCACCCCAGTCCTACCCCAAACCTCTCCTGCTCCTGGGTTCCCTTCCTCAGCTTTTCATTCCTATATAATGCTCCCATTTCAGCCAGCCCCTCTCTTGAGCCCGCTCCCTTGATCCTCTCTCTCTTGGTTCTCTCTCTCTCTCTCTCTCTCTCTCTCTCTCTCTCTCTCTC